CAGGTCTGGCAGGAAGGCAGCCAGCGAGCCTTCGATCTGGTCCGGTTTACCGCACAGAGCATGCTCGGTGGAGCAGTAGTAGGAGCATTCACCGTAGAAGCAGATGTTATTGGCTGAAGAATGAATATTTCAGACAAAAAGCATCATGAGGAGAGATCAAGAGATGGTGTGGACATGAATAATGTCACTCAGTATGAAGAAGGGGGTAAACATGATGGGAAACGGCAAAAAGAAGGGACAAGGAGTTGCTCGCAATGGACCAACACTGTTACAGAAACAGTTACAGGTCCATGTGTAAAGAAAATATGAGGTTAAAGGTCAAAAAGCAACAGTAGAAAAAGCAAGATGGGAATGATGAATATAAATAGTCTAATTAGCTGTCTAACGTGTGCTTTAACAGCAGTGAGACGTGAGCAATGTGAGAAAATATGGACTAATCATAAAACCAAATATTTATTAATCTTCTGCATCACCGAATGTACTTATGGTTTTACCAACCCTAAGATATTATCAGCTGTAATACAAGAGCCACTGAATAAGTTCACACCCCACCCAAAAAATACGCTTTGGATCAATCTAATATTTATCTTCTAATTATTTCTGATTTAACCACCTCTTAGTTAATTACAAATTAAATATAATAAGAAAACATTCAAGTAAAAAAAAAACACTAAATGTGGGAACATTAGAAGTATGGAGCTATAATTGGGACAATATTACATGTAACTTATACCAAGTTTTGTAACCTGTAACACATTTTGAAACTGTAACTTTTGTTTTGTAGCATTTAACTTTCAGTACATAACATAAAACTTTCATTTTGTAACAAGCAAAAACAAAAAATAGTACAAGTTCACAACTCTCAAAACACACACGTTGCAAAGTCTAAGTTTAATGTAACATACCAAAAATTACACATTACGTAACAAGAACTACATGCTACATAACTAAAGTTACAGTTAAAAACATGTAACAAGTAGCTAAACTTGGTACAAGTTACATGTAATATTGTCCCAATCATAGCTTCATAAGGAAAAAGTTCATAATTGTTTCTATATATTATTATTATTATTATTAGAAATTTCTTAATATGACTTTTTAAACATAAATTAAAACCTTATGGCAGGGGTATCCAGCACATTTTAATCTTAAATACAGTTTCAACACACCTGATTTCAATCAGCAGGCTTCTGCAGAGCTTGAGGAGCTGCTGAATTTAGTGAGCTGTAGCAGAGAAACCACTAAAACATGCTGGATACCTCGCCCTACAGGCCCAGAATTGAAGACCCCTGCCTTATGTTATATATAATAACCTTTATTGCTACAAAATAAATAAAAACAGAAACGAATTCCTGCCCATTTTTCTGCTGACGGTCCGCTGTCTTACAGTGCCACCTTGTGGAGATTTTATGTTAATGCACGTGCAGATCTGTTGCTGCGTGACCCCACAGCCAAACGGCCTCTCTGCCAGCCAGCATCTCTACCTGGTGAGATGAAGAAGGTCCTCCACAGCTTCTTGTCACGAGTCGCATCTCGGATCTCACTTGTCATGTTGACGAGTCGTCCTGCCACTGGGGGCACTCTCCGAAAGTCAAGAATCCTTAAAAATAAATAAATAAATAAATAAACAAACAAACATATGGAGATTCAAAGGGAGCATTCCAACTTTCTAACAGTCTGAAGGTTTTGCGCTCCTGTATCAGAACTCCTGTGTTTAGGTTGTCTCACTGTATGTTTGTGGTTCAGATGACCCCACAATGTGAGACAAAGATCAGGCCTCCTGAGAGCAGACCAGCACACAAGCAGCCTGGCTGAGAGGAAGAAAGCTGGCGAAACTTTAGCCTACAGTAGATGGCATTCAGAGGCTGCAGACTGCACTGTCACCGTCGGGTTTATGGGACAAAGGAGCATCTGTGTGTGTTAGCACGCTTAACCCATTTACCTCTCTGCTCTCTGCATCTATATGCTCAAGAGTCGTGTTGCTGTCAGAAAATGAGAGAGCCCTGGAAAGTAGTCAAGACTCCAAATGAACGAACACACCAGATTAGCACCCAGAGCTGCAGTGGTTTTGCAGGGGCTCTGTAACGATATTCCAGTTTGACCCTTCCTGCCCCTCAGAGTAAAAAAAAACAACCCATCAATACACTTAAGAGAGACCAGGAAACATGATCCTGCTCTCTGAGTGTCACTTAATCCTACAGGGATTTAATAATCCCACTGAAATGATCCAATCCACCACCCATGGAATACAACAGGGTCAGAGTGGTTCAAACGTCAATAAGTACATTGGAATGAAACATTAAAACGAATGAACTTGAAACCAATTAATTTAAATTCAAGTCAAACTGGATTAAATCTGATTAGAATGAAAGAAAATCACAGGAGATATAAACATGGTCAATCTCACCTGTCCAGGTGAAAAGCAGCAATTTCAGCATTGTGTCTTTCAAAATCTGAGAAGTAGAAGAAGTCTGGAGGAGTTTCCTGCTCTCGGGTCTGTCTGAGGAGAAAAAAAAACAGATAAGAGATGTATTTAACCCAAACGTCTGTCTGAAACCATAATCAGAGATAATCCCTGATGTGTGTTAATTCCAGTCACGTGATCTCTTATCCTAACCATTTCTCTCACTGCTGTGGAAATCTTCAGCTTTACTTCTGGGTGAAGCAGCACCTCTTTCTAGGATGGAGGAATGAGACCAGAGCCTGTGTGAACAAGTTCACTAGAGGCAAGCTGGCTGCAGATACTGTTCATGTCCTGCATTTACCCCTCAGCAAACACACACACACACACACACACACACACACACGCACGCACGCACGCACGCACGCACACACATTCGGGAACCATGGATCTGAGGCTTCTTTGTCAACTGAATGCAGGATCATCTCTTTTCGTTCCCCACTTTTATTTTTCCTCTATCTCACCTGTATGTAAACACACCTGTGCCACAAAAGCTCCCTCAAAGCCCTGTCTGTGTTTTATGTCATCTTCAGCTGCTCCTCTTCCTCATTAGTGCAGATTCATGGTAGAGTGCAGCATTACTTTTACCATCTTCTTCACTCTTTAAATCTGGGTTTCCTTGAAAAGCAGTGACAACAGCAAAATAGCCTGTCCTTGTCAGGAAAGCAGCCATTAATCAATCGCTGCTATTGTGATAGTCCCCATGCCGTGCAGAGCCCGGGAACAGACTAACGCTGGTTTTATTTTCAGGGTTGAGGATAAAACATGCAGTTTGGATGGAGAAGGAGCTGACTAAACAGAACCTTGTTGTGTTTCTCCACACAGTAAATGTACCCCAGTATCTGTGCATGCCCTTCTAAACTTTTTGTTGCACACACGTGACAGTTATTCTTCAGTTTTGTGTGCTTTTGGTGCAAAATTTGCACCGCAGTTTTGGTTGCCAATGGTTACCACTGAGATGTAAGGTGCAGTTTCCCATTGGAGCAAGCTCTGTTGAATGTGAGTAAAGTCAGGGCTGTGAAAACCTATTACAGAACAACAGGTAGACCATTGCCCTTACACACACACACACACACACACACACACACACACACACACACACACACACACACACACACACACACACACACACACACACACACACACACACACACACACACACACACACACACACACACACAAACACACACACACACGCGCGCGCGTGCAAGCACGCAAGCATGCACGCACACACACACACACACACACGTGCAAGCACGCAAGCATGCACGCACGCACGCACGCACGCACGCACGCACGCACGCACACACACACACACACACACACACACACACACACACACACACACACACACACACACACACTCATGCACTCACACTAATAATCTTTATGCCAAAAAAACCTGCACTATTCTTCTTCCCATTCACACTTTATCAGCGAGTGTCCTTGATAATAAAAGGGCCTTTATCTAGAGTGGTTAGACTGCAGCAATGAGCTGTATGTGGTTCAGCAGAATCTTGATCTGTGTGTGTGTGTGTGTGTGTGTGTGTGTGTGTGTGTGTGTGTGTGTGTGTGTGTGTGTGTGTGTGTGTGTGTAGTGATGAAGCTGAACTACTTGCCTACGTGGACCCAGTTAATGCTGACTCAGTCGTTTTAATGCTCCTTCGTGAGCTTAGACCAGCACAGCGGAGGGTTATATTAGAGAGAGATGGGTGAGGGAGGGGGAGCAGCTCTACACACACACTGCTTGTCTTTTTCTGTCTCTTATGAAAAGAAACAAAACATCAGATAGAGGTTAAAAGCTGGTGACAGAAGGAGGGCAGCAGAACTGGACCTAATGGGAGAAAAGTCCTTCAGGTTTCCCTTTGGGCTCAACTGTTGAGTTAGGGTTATTTCTATTTATTAAAATGATTGAAATAAGCAGATATTTGGTCTAACTGTACAGCAATAAATACATGAAAGAAATAAAGTTACTTGTGACGTAGGACTATGAATAACTGCTACCTTTAAACTTTTATATATTTTTAAAATGGCATGATTTTAGTTCCTGCGCTGTTGTCTTGTTCTACTCTGCACTCAATCACCCAGCCTTGTTCACCTGCACTTGACTGTTTCCACCAGAGTTCCAGGTTTGCTGCATTTTTGTTGTTGAAATAGAACGCTTCAACCAAGCACTGCATGCTTTTTAAATTTTACGAGTATCTATAAAAAACACATAGTAAAAATAAATGGTTTGAATTATCAAATGTTAGGGATGATGGGAGATGAGTTAGGGGTGCTTCAGCGCTCCACAAAATGGGCTAAAAACATCCATGATGGATGGAGACACGACACAGGCCTGAACTACGACTCACACTTGGAGTAAGTTTCTTGTAGGGGGTGACTTGCTCTTTAAGATCTGATTTACTCCACATAAGTATGTAAATTCCTGTCCTTTCTTACACAGAAGGGAAATAGGAAAAAAAAAACCTTTGTGAGAGTTTTTAGATATAATGCTTCATCGCGGGGTTGACAAAAGACCCCATCGACATTCATAACAACAGGAGCGTTTATATCAGAGTCTTCCTTCTTACTGGTTTGGTTTCTGTGAAGCCATATCAAACCCTCTGAATCAGTCTGACCCTACTTAAAGAGCAAGTCACCCCCTACCAGATTCTTACTCAACTCCCACCACCTGTTCTAAAAATGCAACAAATGCTGTTGCCAAGCAGACCGAGAGGGCGTAGCCACTAACAATTACAGACACACACAAGCTCACAACGACATTGTGACATCATATGGTACCAGCTAATGTTCTAGGGTACCTCTTAGCCAATAGCGATGGCAGATTTAAATTCAAATGCAGTGCAGAGTTTTTACCTGACAACGGCACAATGACAGTTTCAAGCAGAAAATTACAATTTTAACTAAAATGCATTAAAGTGCAAAACTATTGACTGCACCTGTCTGCAGCATGATTAGACACGCATTTATATAGCTTATCAGGAAAAAAGTTGATTTTTTGGTGACTTGCTCTTTAAGACCAGTTTTCAAATATCAATCAGCTTTCCTCCTCATCTTCACCCAATGTCCAATTCTCCTACCATCTATATTTTTTTATGCCCACTGTTGCATTGTTTTCCCTTCTAAGTTTAACTTTCACAAGTCTGACATTTCCCAAACACATTTCATCATGTCAAATGTGTTTTCCTTCCTCTTGAAATTTATTGTATGTTTCAAAATAAAGCTACCTTTGTTCCACACTCAACCTTCAAGGGCTCTGGAGAAACACAAGTGATTACTGCGATGAGCTCAGGACACTTCTGGGTAAATGACACCTTGTGGATGAGTCACAGCAGTAAAGGGAGAGATGGAGAAACTGGGATTTAAAAGTTCTTCAGTTTTGTGATTTGTGTCGGAGTGTGCTTGTCTGCAAGCTGCACGCACACGCACACGCACACGCACACGCACACACACACACACACACACACACACACACACACACACACACACACACACACACACACACACACACACACACACACACACACACATATTTCAAGAGGAACTGTCAAACTTCTATGTGCATGCACATGTTTAAGTCTGCAAACAGCAGCAATCTGAATGGGTAATGTAGGCCGCTTTCCCCTCACTCTGTGTCTGCTCATTTGCCTTTATTTCCTCCAGAACCAGAGATACATCTAAGAGACAGAGCCTCGGGGTATTTGTCGAGATTGAATTTCAAATCAATGCTACACAAGTCGCGCTCTAGCTTCAGCTATTTTCAACACGCAGGGTGAGACACCGCCAGGAGGGAGAAGCTAGTCATCTGCATGTGTGGGATGCAGCATGGGCGATGTCATCACAGGAAAAAAAAGGCCCGACACAAAGAAGATGGATGAAGGTTTCAGTCGGTGCAGAAACTTCAAAGTTATTGAATTCTCATGTGGTGGGAATTAGTGTGGAAATAATGGGACCACAAAAGGACCATTAGTGGTTGTACAGCACAACGTATGCACACTGGTTATGAGGTGCAAACATTTACTGTCACTTTTGCTTCATTAATGATCGGCATAAAATTATAAGACTGACTCAATATTAAATGTTGTACTTGATGGGTTTTGATCATGTGATTCCCCCAACTCAAAACGTGACCCGTCAGTAACTATTTATCAGATTTCTATATTTCCAAAAACACCAACAGTGAGGTCAAATAACAGGAAAAAGTAGGATTTTTTATAGATTTTTGGCAACAACATGTTTAAAGTTATCTTTACTCTTATTTTTAACACATTTGCAGCGGTCTCTAATAGGAATGAACCTCTTGTAAGTTGTTTTCTGGAGAAAAAAGATCCGGTGCGACTGTTTGATAAGACAGCTGGACAAAAAAAAATGAAGGGGACATTTCCCTTAAAGCTCTCATTCACTTATTATTTCAATGCATTTGCTGTGGTCTCATGCTGGTATGCATGAATGCCTTGTGAGTCAGCTGCTGTGGAAGAAAAGCTCCGGCGCTCCAGTTTCAGAAACAAGTCAGCTGGAAGGGTGGAGGGCAGAAAAGGATTTGGAGCCATTTTTTTAATTTATTTTTTTACATATTTGGACATCTGATTGGCTAACAGCAACATGACATTGCTAAAGCCGCCATTTTTTCTGCAACATTTTATCCTCACAAATAACACAAGCCTAATGGAGTTCTGCCATGTGGTGGAGGTGCTAATGCTAATAGTTAGCTTCAAAAAGCCAATATATCCTCTGCTCTCTCCTGGATGCAAAATCAACAGCAACAACCATAGATCTGTGTGGCTTTTCTAATCCGGGTGTTTCTAATTTCCTTTGGCAGCAAATGCAAGAAATATGGGTGGAAGAAATTTTTCGCGTTCAGCCTGCATGTGAAATAAAAAGAATAAAACAAAAAACAAATTAAATACATTTTCTATGTACTTGTGCTTTAAAATTAAAGGAATTGTTCATAATACTGGTTTCTGTATGACATGTCTGCACATCTAAAAACGCCTTGTCATGACTCTCTCACGATGAGGCTACAAACTATATTTGAG